ACACTAAAAGAGTACTTACTTGTAACTGTAAAGCTTTATAATTCAGCATGCATTACTATGGACATACTTCTAAGGATACAGCTAAAAACTTGCCGTGGGACTCCAAATCCCATTAAGCTGGGTGGTAATAATGCCATCTTAACTGTTAAAGTGATCACATTAAGTGTTAAATTGATACTATAGGTAGGATTGAGTGTTAAATGAGATCAAGTGTCTGGTAATAATAGTCAATAGAATTAAAAAGGAGAATGATCCAACTTGGGAAGCAGTCCAAACAGCAGACTCATAGAATGACATTTGTTCTAAATAGCACTCTGACCTCAGAATGAGCTCTTACGGCATTCTGGTCTGGCTGAAAAGCCCATGAGAGCATTTCAGGCATGGGCAGCCAATACACTGTGGCAAAAAAAAATGTCCTACATGAAAGATCTCTGTGAGTGAGACCCCAGTGGAAAGAAGGAGCCATCGAAGAAGGATGTACTTTTTTCTGAAGGGAGGAGAGAACTTCCACTTTGCTTATCGCCTTGACTAAATACGGACCAAGACTCCGGATTCAAAAGGCTTCCATAGCCTTGGCAGTTCATGTCAAGAGCTTTGGGTAATCACTGGTGTTAATTTAACAATTAACACTCCTATGTATGACAACAGGAGTCACTGTGCACTTACTCCCCATGTAGGACCTCTGCCCTCAATGAGTTGTACTATGAGAATTAACTGTAAAACTTGTTCTCAGTTTTTTGTTTTATATGTATGTGTGTGCAAATTGTTGAAATCTTCACTTAGTATAAAGTTGGTCTTCTGTGTATAAAGTTAACGGAAAACAAATCTTAATATATATTAAAATATTTGAAGATAAAGTTATGGATCTGTAATTTTCTTCAGATAACCCGTTTTGTTTTTTGGAGGGGTGGGGGGAATAGTGTAGCTATAGATGAAACATGTATAGCTGAAACCTGATGTTTTGAAGTTGAGTAACAAGCAGAATAATGGGGATACATTACACGATTCTTTTTACTTTTGCATGTTTTAATTTTTTGAATAATAAGTTTAAAAAACTTATTGATGGATTCCACATAGAAACTGTGACTCATTTCAAGGACAGTTTTTCAGTAATTGCTATTTTCTTCTTTTAATCTTTTTTATTTTCTAAGTTGTGACTCATTTCAAGGACAGTTTTTCAGTAATTGCTATTTTCTTCTTTTAATCTTTTTTATTTTCTAAGTTGTTCCAATAAATATGTACTACTTTCATATCAGAAACAAACAAACAAAAAAAAGCTTTCTGAAATTCTAAACACAAGGACATAAAACTATTTTTTAAAAAGAAATTCTCACTAAATTTGGAGTAAAAAAGAATATTTAGCAGTATAAATTCTACAACAAATTTTTAAAAATAAGATAATGGAGGAAAAGGTAGGTAAGGAGGATGAAGAAATGCACCAATTTCATCCATATTAGTTACAGTTCAGGTAGAACTTAATGCCCAAAGCCATTAAACTAAAAGCAGAACACTTCTAGAAATCTGTCCCAAAGATAAACTTTCACAGATTAAAAAAAAAAAAACCAACCAACCAACCAACCAACCAAACAAAAACCAAAAAAACCCTGCATCTGTAGTTACTGATAACTGCATTATACAATGGAAAAATATTGCAAAATCAAATTCCTACCCATAGAAGACTGGTTGAATATGCTATTATACTCACACAATAAAACATGTAGCTATAAAAAACAATGATGAAGATTCTCCACAGGCCACTATGGAGTGATCTCCAAGATATATTAAATGTGTGACAGAAAAAAGAAGGTGCAGAACATGGAGGAGTGGGCATAGCACATTAAGCCACTACTCAGAATGCCAGCATCCTATATTGGAATGCAGGTTCAAATCTCAGTTACTCCACTTCTGATCTAGCTTCTTGCTATTAAAGCTAGGAGGCAGCAGATGATGGCCCAAGTACTTGGATTCAAGCTGCCAACGTGGGAGACCGGAATGGAATTCCTGGCTCCTGGCTTCAGCCTCGCCCAGCCCTGGTTGTTGCAGACATTTGGAGAGTGAACCAGTGGATGGAAGATTTCTGTCATTCTCTGCCTTTCAAATAAAATGAATATAACAAATAAAAGTATTGTACTTTCAGTAGAGATCCCAGCGGGTTATATTCTATTCTACTGTAAGAGGTCTTGATGATTCTTTTGTATTCATATGGTTAGTAAAAAGTATTTCTATTTTTATTTTGAAATTCTTTATCCTTCTCAGTCCAAAAGACAAAGGGGGGGGGGGGGCGGCAAAGGGAATGAAGAACAAATAGAATAAAAGTAAAACAATAGCAAGATGATGAATTTGAACCAAATCACATCAGTTATCACACAGACTATAAATGGTCTAATATTACAATTAAAATACAAAGATTGACAAGTTCTATAAAAACAAAAAACTTAACTATACACTGCCCTCTAGAAAAATGCACTAGAAGGGCCAGCACTGTGGTATGGCCAGTAAAGCCTCCACCTGCAGCGCTGACATCCCATATGGGTGCCAGTTCGAGTCATGGCTGCGTTCTACTTCCGATCCAGCTCCCTGTTGATGTACCTGGGAAAGCAGTGGGAGATGGCCTAAGTACTCGGGCCCCCACAGCCTCATGGGAGACCCTGAAGAAGATACTGACTCCTGGCTTTAGACCAACCCAGCTCCAGCCATTGTGGCCATTTGGGAAGTAAACCAGCAGAAGGAAGATCTCTCCTACTATCTCCCTCTCCCTCTCTCTGTAACTCCTTTAAACAAACAAATAAATTTTCTTTAAAAAAAGAAAAATGTGCTTGAAATATGAAATACAAATAGGTTAAAATTAAAAGAATAGAAAAAATATACCATGCTAACACTAGCCAAAATATAAGGATGGCTACAATAAATTTCAGACAAAGCAGATGTTCAGAACAAAGAATATTATCAGGAACAAAGACCATGAAGGGTTAATTTAACTATTATGACATAAAATCTAATAATTTATGTACCTAATAACAACGTCAAAACACTCGAAGCAGAAACTACCAGGAGAATGAGATAAATCCAACGAACAGAAAATCAGTAAAGATACTGAAGATTTAAACAATACTACCAATCTGTCTGATCCAATTGACATTTATAGAACTCTCCACCCAAAAGCAGCAGAACGGCAGACTCTTCAAGTGCACACAGAACATTTTACTAAAAAGCACCAAATTCTAGGTCACAAAACAAAACATTTTCTGAACACAGTGGAATTAAATTAGAACTCAGTAATAAAAGATCCCTGGAAGATGCCCAAAATATTTGAAAATGAAATAACTTACACCTAAATAACCCATGAACTGGGCCGGCACCGCGGCTCACTAGGCTAATCCTCCGCCTAGCGGCGCCGGCACACCGGGTTCTAATCCCAGTTGGGGCGCCGGATTCTGTCCCGGTTGCCCCTCTTCCAGGCCAGCTCTCTGCTGTGGCCAGGGAGTGCAGTGGAGGATGGCCCAGGTGCTTGGGCCCTGCACCCCATGGGAGACCAGGAAAAGCACCTGGCTCCTGGCTCCTGGCTCCTGGCTCCTGCCATCGGATCAGCGCGGTGCGCCGGCCACGGCGGCCATTGGAGGGTGAACCAACGGCAAAGGAAGACCTTTCTCTCTCTCTCTCTCTCTCACTGTCCACTCTGCCTGTCAAAAAATAAAAAAATAAATAAAAAATAAATAAATAACCCATGAACTGATGAAAAACATCAAAAGGCAAATTAAAAAGGCTTTTTAACTGAAGGCAGAAAAAACACAGTGAGATTGGCAAGTGATAACTTCTAGAAATAAGATGGCATTATATTTTTGTGTACCTCTGAAAATTTCAATCAAAGTTAAAAAACAACAAAGTTAAGTAACAGAGAACTCTCATTTTTAAATCCTCTGTTTTTCCTACACTCAACCAGTATTGGGAAGCATCAATCACAATTAACTACAGATTTTCCTTGCTTCCAATATACAAAAAATAAAAATTAAAAAGAATTGCCTTGTTCCTTCATCACTTGAGAAGCCTAGGTAGCAAGTTTAAGAAATAAAACAAAGATTCCTATGTTCTGAAAAAATAAAGGCATGTTAGGAAACAATGAAAAAAGAACTACTTACCTTGCACTCTGCTTTTGAATGTACAAGGGCCATTCTTTCCACTTCTGGGATCTGCTCTCAGAAAAGAAAATGGGAATGAGATGCTAGACCAACCCGGGCCATACTCTGAATCAGAACACACTCTCTCTTCCTCTACTCCCATTATCCACCCCTCATGTAACATAAGGAAAAGTCAGAAAGAGTCTAAAACAGATCTGTACCTTCTGTGTCCCAGAGGGCCACGGCCACACTACCTTAGAATTTATTTCTGAATTCAAAGCTATTTATGGAGACAGAGCCCTGCCGTGGAGTGGTACAAGTTCTAAAGTGGGTACCTGGCACCTACAGCACTCCCTCTGGAAGTATTTCCACTCCTGGAACCCCATTACATTCCCAAATGGCCTATATTGAAGGAGCTATCAACTCTAAACTTCTCATCTCAAAACCAGTTCTGTGGCTTGGATATAACTATTCTTCACTCAGAGGCTCAAATTTGACTTCTTTCCTTTCTGCTACTTCTCTGCATCCAGTTCCCTTAAGGCTATATGGTGGGGAAGGCTCCTGGCCCCGGCTTCGGATCGGCGCAGCTCCGGTCGTGGCAGCCATTTGGGGAGTGAACCAGCGGATGGAAGACCTTTCTGTCTCTCTCTCTCGTTGTCTGTAACTCTACCTCTCAAATAAATAAATAAAATCTTAAAAAAAAAAAAAAGTCTATACGGTGAGAGGCCACCAGGAAGCAGCAGCAAACCTACAGCTACAATTTCAAGGTGAACCGAGGAAAGATACATAAATGAGGCACAGCCTATGTGTGTGAACGGGCAGCCACTGTGGTCAAAACTTTGAAGTCCTCAGAGGAGCAAAAGCCACATGCGAATCAGCTCCAGGATGACCTCCAGAAACACCGAAACCAAATTTTACCCTGGTACCCCACGAAACGTCCGCAGGCTCAGCGAGTACAAAGTACACACTTGACCACACGAAGTCACAGACAATCGCATTTTCAATCACATGGGCAAAACCACAACCATCAGTAATGCTACACCGCTGGACCACCTAATCTTAAAACCCACCACGCACAGGCCGTACACCCAAACATTCAAGCACCCTGGCAGGGACACACGCCGGCCAAAACGCCTTTTCTCAGTGCGCTTTTACTGTCTTCCCCTAGTAGTGCAAACACACGAACTCGCACAGTGGTGCACAGAGCACACACACAACCGACCAACCTGACAGTGAAATACATTCATGTGCCAGATCGAAGCAACACGCAGTCACACCGTGTCACAGATACACTGTCGTGCACAGGCAAGTCCCGGTCATGCACAAGACACCAGGCACATCCACAACCTCCAAGGGACCCGAGCACGCCCAACCACCCTGTCACGACAGGTGTCGCCCACCTCACAGTCACCAGCAAACTCCAGCTACACACGTGGCTACACAGCCACACGGCCACGGAAGCCCGTCCGCCGTCACGTCAGCACACGGTCACACACACCCTCAGAGGCACAACCTGCTCACAGCCTCCCAAACGCTCGTACACAAAACCACCGCCGCACATGCCCAGTTCTCCACAGGCACCGACGCCGCGGGAGACGACGCCGCCGCACACGTCATGCCCGCGACGCCGGCCCCGCGTACTTCCGCCCTGGCACTCCGCACGCGCTAACCTCAGCCGAAGTGCGCTTCAGGACCCACGACCTGGCGCCCAGATTCGAAGCCCGGTTCTAGTTCGCCCGCCCAGCGGCTGCCAATCTCCTCCTCGGTTGCGGTCCTCTCCTGACGCCTGGACGCCCAAACTCGCAGAAACGGAAACGCAGCCGCGTGCCGTACCCGGCGCTTCTGGGAAATGTAGTCCAGCGCCGAGGCGGGCCCGTACACTGGGAGGCCGGGTGCACGCACTTTGCCGGGTTGGTGCGCTGGGCGGCTGGAACCCGCGTGCGTGAAGCCCCCGCGCCTCGAGATGTCCGGGAGTGCCCGCCGGCGCGCAGTGCGCAGGCGTCAGACGCTCAGTCTGAGTGGCCGAGCCCTGGAGTGAGCGCTGAGTGGACCCAGAGTCTTCCTCAGCATGAGGAGGGTGGGACCCGGGACGCGCCCGCGGGGAGATGCGGTCTCCCAGCCGAAGCTGGGGCTTCGAGCGGCTGGGGCCTGCGAACTGCCTGGGCTCCTGCGGATGCCTGGCTGGGATCTTGGGGGGCGGGCCGGGTGGCCGCGCGAGACGTTGAAGGCTTGCGGGGTGGGGGTGTCTTCAGTGCCCGGTGCATCGTCGTGTTTCTGTACGAGCGTCATTCTTCCTGCCCTTGGGTGTGGGGTGAGTTGAACTTGAAGCTGCATGGTCATGGCATTTTGTAATATTGCGGGAAGTGTCTGCTGCTGTGGTTGAGAAGGGTCTGTGTATCTCTGGTTTTTGTCCATAATGGTGATGATTTGTGTTTATAAATGGGCTTTTCTATAGGGATTTTACTAGCCTGTGTTCAGTGAAAAAACCTAAGGTCAAGTTATTTCTTCCTTGGATATTCATTTTGATGATCTGAAGAGGTTAGTCAGTTTATCTGACAAGTAATGTGGACATAACTTTTTTTTTTTTTTTGATCAAATATATATCTTATGGGGACGAATGCAAAATCAAGAGTTTTTTTTTCTTTTTATAAAGATTTCAAAGTCAATCCTAGGGTAACTTTTTTCTCTGCCACCGGACTCCAAAAGTGGACATCCATTATTTTTTATTATAAGGACATTACAGGGGTAATGTTGAGAGACCACTGACTAGTAAAATAAAATGAGAAAAAATAAACATACTTCAAAGGAGTGTACATCATTAGATTTCCTGAATTCTAGGAAAAACACTGTTTCCATTTTCTGTTTTTTTAAATTTTGTTTGAGAGGCCTACAGACAACTCCAAAGCAATGGTTCACTCCCCAGATGCTGCCAAGGTGGTGGTGGGCTGGACCTAAGCCAGGAGCTGGAACACAATCCAGGTCACCCAGGTAGGGGCAGGAGACAGTCACTTAAGCCATCACAGCTGCTTTTCAGGGGCAGCACTGGCAGGAAGCTGGAATCAGGAGCCAGGGATGGAACCCAGAGACTCAGATTCAGGACTTGGGCGTCGCGTCTTAACCGCAAGGCCAAACAGCCACCCTTGACCCCATTTTCTGATGAGCGAACCTCAGCTCACCGAGAAAGGAATTTAAGGCTGTACAGTTTGTCTGAAACCTGAACCATCTTCTCTTACTCCAAGATATCATGGACACTTTTTTTATTTTTTAATAATTACAAACTTGTGAACCTCCAGCACAGAGGAGGTAAGCGTTTTAATTTCACCACTACTCCTTCCGGGGGCGGGGGGGGGGGGGGACATAAAATTTGCTCTTTCAAGACCATATCCCAAATATTTTGTTTTCTTCCCTATAATGTGATGAGAGAAACAAGTTGGTGACTGGAATTGTTAAGTAAATGAACCTGTGTTCATAATAAGAAACGGCTATGTGAAATAAAAATTGCACTGAATGAAAGTAGAGCAAGAATTATGGCAGTATATATGGGAGATGTAAACTGTTCTGTTTTTTATTAAGAGATGGTAGGTGTACTCTGGTTTCAGACTGGACTGGGTGCATTAATCTCAAGCCTCCCCTATCTGGTTCTGGGTAATCTCTTGGCTTTTGAATAGCAGTGACGAATACGTGCAAGAAAAAGGAATCTATTGATTTAAAAATGGAAAACAGGGGCCTGCGCTGTGGCATAGTAGGCTAAGCCTTTGCCTGAAGTGCTGGCATCCCCTATGGGTGCTGGTTGGTGTCCCGGCTGCTCCTCTTCCTATCCAGCTCTCAGCTAATGGCCTGGGAGAGCAGTGGAGGATGTCCCAAGTGCTTGGGCCTCTGCATCCATGTGGGAGACCTGGAAGCAGCTTCTGGCTCCTTGCTTTGGATCAGCCCAGCTCCAGCCATTGTGGCCATTTGGGGAGTGAACCAGTGGATGGAAGACTTCTCTGTCTCTCTCTCTATCTGTAACTTTGCCTCTCAAATTAATTAATTTTTTTAAAAAGTGAAAAACAGGAATTGTTAACCTGAGCTGAGTAGCTTCCATGTGCATGGGCTTCTTGTTATTTGTTAAACTTGTGGTAATTCATATATGTTGATACATTTGAAAAAGAAATTATACAGTTTACGAGATTCACAAAGAAATAAAAGGGCAACACTCTTAGAAATACAGACTGCAGAAACTGAGGATTTACTTTTAGCATACCACATGATATAATTAATGTAAAGAGTGTATGTTTTATACAGCGATGCACATCAAACTCCTGTCAATGTCAGCATCCTGAGCACATCACGATGGCTAAAGTACTTGAGTTCCTGCTACCCAGGTGGGAGACCTGGATGGAATTCTCTGTTCCTGGCTTCAGTCTGGCCCAGCTGCAGCTGCTTTCAAATAAATAAGTAAATCTTTTAAACCATTTATTTGAAAGGGAGGGAAACTGAGGTCTTCCATCCTCTTGTTCATTCCCCAAATGCTGGTAACAGCTGAGGCTGGGCCAGGCCCAAGCCAGGAGGCCAGAATGCAATCTGGGTCTACCACTTGAGTGGCAAGAACCCAACTACTTGAGCCATCACCTGCTGCTTCTGAGGGTGTGCAGTAGAAGGAAGCTGGAGTCCGCAGCAGACTCAGGACTTGACCCTAGGGTACACATGCCCCAGGTAGCATTCGAGCTGCTGGACTAAAGGCTTGCCCCCTCTTTACATTTTTTTTTTCTTTTTTATCTTTCTGATTTCCTTGCTTTTATATTCTTTGGGTTTATTTTTGCCAGTTTTCTCATATTTTAAGCTGAATGCTTAAGTAATTATTTTTTATACATCTAATATAAACTTATAATTTTCCCCTAGGTATTACTTTAACTGCATTCTATAATTTCTGATATACACTAATCTTACCATTCAGTTTTAAATATTTCTTCTATGATTTATTTTACTCATGGATGGAATTATGTTTCTTAAGCATATAGGGTTTTTTTCTCCCCATAATTATCCTTTGATGACTTACATGTAACACAATTGTTCTTGTGGTCAGTGCAGGTAGTCTATATGAAACCAGTTCTTTGAAATTTTTTTGATGTTTGCTTTATGGCCCAATATGTATTTTATTATTATGAGTTTCAGTGTGTCTTTGTGTCTTATTCACTGCATACAATACATTAAATATCTATAAAGTGGGCCGGCGCCGTGGCTCACTTGGTTAATCCTCCACCTGTGGCACTGGCATCCTATATGGGCACCGGGTTTTAGTCCCAGTTGCTCATTTTCCAGTCCAGCTCTCTGCTGTAGCCTGGGAAGGCAGTGGAGGATGGCCCAAGTGCTTGGGCCCCTGCACCCGCATGGGAGACCAGGAAGAAGCACCTGGCTCCTGGCTTCGGATCGGCACAGCATCGGCCACAGCATTTGAGGGGTGAACCAACGGAAGGAGACCTTTCTGTCTCTCTCACTGTCTATAACTCTGTCAAATAAATTTAAAAAAAAATATTAACTTTGGCTTACACATAGAAATATGTTTTTTTTAATTTTATTTTATTTATTTATTTATTTATTTATTTTTTGACAGGCAGAGTGCATAGTGAGAGAGAGAGACAGAAAGGTCTTCCTTTTGCCATTGGTTCACCCTCCAATGGCCGCGATGGCTGGCACGCTGCAGCCGGCGCACCGCGCTGATCCGAAGCCAGGAGCCAGGTGCTTCTCCTGGTCTCCCATGGGGTGCAGAGCCCAAGCACTTGGGCCATCCTCCACTGCACTCCTTGGCCACAGCAGAGAGCTGGCCTGGAAGAGGGGCAACCGGGAAAGAATCCGGCGCCCCGACCGGGACTAGAACCCGGTGTGCCGGCGCCACTAGGTGGAGGATTAGCCTAGTGAGCCGTGGCGCCGACCAGAAATATGTTTTACTAACTGTAAGTTTATACTTTTTATATCTTAATGGAGAATTGAATGTTTTATCATTTGTAGTTAATGATCACTTTATAATACCTTTATGTAAGATCTAATTTATCTCAATATAATATCATGTAAATAAAGCTACACCAAGGAGCTTTTTGTCCTCTCATGTTCAGCCTTTCTACACTTCTTTAATATATCTTGAAAATAGGTTTGTTATATTTTGCATATTTGTCTAGCCACTTACTGATATATTTATATTTATTTCTACCATTTAAAATTATTTTATTGAAAGTCAGAGAAATGAGAGACATAGAGATACTACATCTGCTGGTTCTACTCCCGCCAAATGTGCACAACAGTGCAGGCTGAACCAGGCTGAAGCCAGGAGCCAGGAACTCCATCTGGGGCTTCTGCATGGGTGGCAGGGACCCAACCTACTTGAGACATCACCTGCTGATTGCCAAGGTGTGCATGAGTGGGAAGCTGGAATCAGAAGCAGAGCTGGGACTCAAACACGGACACTCCGGTAATAGAATATAGAGGCCCCAGGCAGCATTGTAGCCCCATTTTTGAGACTTTCTGCATTTTGTTGAATAAATAATTTTCTTCTTTATTATATTTTCATCAGTTTTATTATGAACAATCCTCCCTCAATTTTCCAGCTTTTGAAAATGACAGCTCATATATTAGATTTTTTCTGATTGTCCTTATTTTTTTTCTTCTGTTATTCTATGGAATTTTCTTTTTTTTTTCAATTTTTTAATATTTATTTATTTATTTGACACAGTTACACAGAGGGAATCTATGCAATTTTCTGAGTAAATATAAATGCGTGTTGTTGACTCTACCATGTTTAATTTCATGACTTGTTTTCTGATGATTTGCTCAATCATTTTACTCTGTTGTCATCCTAGATAAATTCTGAGTGTATATAATCTCATATTTGCATCTAGTCATTTGTCCTTTTTTAATCTTTTTACTTGATTTCTACACTGTGAAAAGTCACATTAAAAGCTCTCAAAAATCCTTATACTCATAAATCTTAGCTTTTCTACTCTTTAATCTTCTAAGATATTTTCGGGAAAAGCAGCAAAAGATGGCCCAACTGCTTGGGCCCCTGCCACCCATGTGGGAGACCCAGATGAAGCTCCTGGTTTCAGCCTGGCTGTTGTGGCCACCTGGGGAGTGAACCAGTGAATGGAAGATCGATCTCTCTCTGTAACTCTTTCAGAATAAATAAATAGTTTTTAAAAAATAAATTAATGGACATCATAGAATAACCAAAGATCACAACAGACTACTAGAAATAATTATAGGCCAACTAATTGAAAGAAGAATCTAGATGAAATGGATATATTTCTATAACATAAAACTACCAAGACAGAATCATGAAGAAACAAAATGTGATTATTCATGAGTAAAGACCAGTAATAAAAAATCTCTCAACAAAGAAAAACCTAGGACCTGATGGCATCACAGGTGAATTCTGCCAATATTTTAAGTGATCACTGATATAGCTAGATAGATACCATATAAGTTAGTTTTCTTCTTCTTCTTTTTTTTTTTTTTTGACAGGCAGAGTGGACAGTGAGAGAGAGAGAGACAGAGAGAAAGGTCTTCCTTTTGCCGTTGGTTCACCCTCCAATGGCCGCCGCGGCCGGTGCGCTGCGGCCGGCGCACCGCGCTGATCCGATGGCAGGAGCCAGGAGCCAGGTGCTTTTCCTGGTCTCCCATGGGGTGCAGGGCCCAAGCACCTGGGCCATCCTCCACTGCACTCCCGGGCCACAGCAGAGGGCTGGCCTGGAAGAGGGGCAACCGGAACAGAATCCGGCGCCCCAACCGGGACTAGAACCCGGTGTGCCGGCGCCGCTAGGCGGAGGATTAGCCTAGTGAGCCGCGGCACCGGCCAGTTCTTCTTCTTTTTTTTTTAAATACTTACTTGAAAGAGAGAGTTACAGAGAGTGAAACAGAGAGCTCTTTCATCCACTCATTCACTTCCCAAATGGCCACAATCATCGGGGCTGGGCAGGCCAAAGCCAGAAGCGTGGAACTCCATCCCTGTCTCCCACATGGGTGGAGGGGCCCAAGGCCTCGAGCCATCCTCTCAGGCACAGATTAATCCACTGGTGGGACACCTACATCCCTTATCAGATGGCCGGGTGCAGTTCCTGCTGCTCTGGTCCCGGTGCAGTTTCCTGCTAATGTGCTTGGGAAGCAGCAGATGTCAGCTCAGGTAGGAGATACAGATGAAGTTCCTGGCCCTGTCCTGCAGTTGCAGGCATTTGGGGGAATGAACCAGTGTGTGGAAGGTCTCTCTGCCTTTCAAATAAATCTTTTTTTTTAATATTACAAAGAGTTTATTTAAAAGAGTTAGAGAGAGAAGAAGCGGGGGGGGGGGTGTCTTCCATCCGCTGGTTCACTCGCCAGTTGGCCACAATGGCCAGAGCAGCACCAATCTGAAGCCAGGAGCCAGGAGCTTCCTCCGGGTCTCCCATGTGGGTGCAGGGGCCCAAGAACTTGGGCCATCTTCTACTGCTTTTCCAGGCCACAGCAGAGAGCTGGATCAGAAGTGGAGCAGCCGGGACTAGAACCAGCACCCATATGGGATGCCGGCACTGCAGGCAGAGGCTTTACCAGCTATACCACAGTGCTTAAATAGTCTTAAAAAGTTTTTCATGAGGGCAGGTTTTAACAACAGAATGGCCTCACATATTTAAAAATCTCTGTCCTTTCCCAGCTTTCCATACGCCAAATATAAAGAATTTTCACAAAAGTATGAATTTTTAAAATATTCAGTAAGTTGGGAGCCACAAGTAAATGATTTCCCACGTTCCTGACATTCCCACGGTTTCTCACCAGTATGAATCCTCTGATGTTGAATAAGTTGGAGGCTATAAGTCTTTCCACGGTGGTTACATTTCTGTGGTTTCCCATCTGTAAGGATCCAATGTTGTGAGCCACAAATAAAGGACATCATTCAATCTTTACATTTATGGGTTTTTCGCCATTATGAGATCTGGGATGGAGAGTAAGCTGTGAACCACGGCTCAAGGCTTTCCCACATTTCTTACATACATAGGGCTTTTCTCCTGTATGAAGTCTGATGTTCAGTAAGTTGGGAGTCATGAATGCAGTGTACCATTTTTTACACTTCAGGGTTTCTCTGCAGGTTGAACCATGAAAACTGCCCTTTCCACATACATTGCATGAATTCTTTGAAGCCAAGTAACATGAGAGCGACAGATAAAGGCCATTCCACACTCTACATTCGTAAGTATTCTCCTATGATAAATGAACTCTTTGATAATAAGTTGTGAAATACAAATAAAGGTTTTTCTACATTACTTACATTCATAGGGGTTGCAGCAACATGAACTCTCTAATAGTAAGTTGTGAGCCTCAGATAAAGGCCTTTCCACATTCTTGATGTAAAGTTTTTCTTTTCTTTTTTTTTCTTTTTTTTGAGAGGCAGAGTTAGAGAGAGAGAGAGACAGAGAGAAAGGTCTTCCTTCCATTGATTCACCCCCCAAATGACCGCTACAGCTGGTGCGCTGCACCGATCCAAAGCCAGGAGCCAGGTGCTTCCTCCTGGTATCCCATGCTGGTGCAGGGCCCAAGCACTTGGGCCATCCTCCACTGCCCTCCAGGGCCACAGCAGAGACCTGGACTGGAAGAGGAGCAACCAGGACTAGAACCTGGTGCCCATATGGGATGCCGGCGCCACAGGCAGAGGATTAACCAAGTGAGCCATGGCTCTGGGCCCAGGAAAAACTTTCTTAATCATGATGAAATCCAATCCATTACGTTGTCAAAAACACAATAAAGTATAAAGACAAATCAGGAGAAACTCACAAAAATGCAATACACCAAATATATAAACAGCTTCTAAAAATGGACTAGGCTATTTTTTCTAAAAAAGGACTACTAACTCTATATAAAGACGGACTATAATGTAACTGGCTTTTAATAATATGAAAACATACTCAACTCTGCTTATAAAAGAAATGCATATTAAAACTACCCAGAGGAAGGCTAGCTTTGTGGTGTAGTAGGTTAAGCTGCCACTTGGGACACCAGTATCCTATGATACCAGTATCCCATATGGATGCTGGTTCCCATCCCAACTACTCTGCTTCTGATCCACCTCCCTGCTGATGTGTTTGGGACAGTAGCAGAATGATGGCCCAAGTGCTTGGGGCCCTGCCATCTATATGGAGAACTGGATGGAGTTCCTGGCTACTGGCTTTGGCCTGGCCCAGCCCTGGCCATTGCAACCACTTGGAGGAGTGAACCAGTGATCAACCAATGCAATCAATCTCTCTCTAACTCTGCCTTTCAAATAATTTTTTAAAAAAGATTTACTTATTCTATTTGAATGGCAGTTAGAGAGAGAGAGAGAGGTTCCATCTGCTGGTTCACTCCCCAAGTGGCTACAATGGCTAGAGCTGGGGTGATCCAAAACCAGGAGCCAGGAGCTTCTTTCGGGTCTCCCATGCATGTGCAGCGGCCCAAGGCCACAGCTTTCCCAGGCCACAGCAGAGAGCTAGATAGGAAGTGGAGTAGCCAGGTCTCAAACCAGCGCCTGTATGGGTTGCTGGCACTGCAGGCGGTGGCTTTACCTGCTATGCCACAGCACCAGCCCCTCAATTTTTTCTTTTTTAAGATGCTGTTTAGGATGCCCCCATCCTACATCGGAGAACCTGTATTTGGTAACTGGTTATGCCTCCTGATTCCAGCTTCCCACTAATGCAGACCCTAGGACTGCCAGTGGTTATGGTTCTAGTAACTGGGTTCCTGCCACCAATGTGGGAGATCTGAATTCAGTTCTGGTTTCCAAATTTAGTGCTAAGTGGGGGCTGTTACAAGCTAGGATTAAGTCAAAAGGGTCCATGAGCCAGCCTCAAAAGGCTCTAAGTGGTCATATATGAGACAACAATAATTTAAGTATACATAAAGATAACAAGTACAATAAACTAAAATACCTAAAATATATGAAATCCTCTATTATAACTTTAAAAATTTATTGATCCATGAGAAAAGACATTTATGTCAATATTCATTATTTCTTCTTCTTGAAAACTGTTAAGAGAAAGAATTTGTTCTGCTCCCCTTGAACAATCTACACCTTAAAATAAAAAATCAGGTGCTGAAGAGAATTTATACTTCATGGAAACATTCCATTTAGGGAATGAACATTGAGATAAGCAGACATTATGTGCCTCCTGTTGGAAGTATACATTACTGTCTATGGAATCATTTGCTAAATTACAGAAAAAGGAAGGAAAGGAGGAAGGAAGGAAGGAACAGAGGAAGGGATGGAAGAAGAAAATAAGCCTGCACCTGATCAAATCTCTAGCTTTACCTAGAGAAGAGAGGGAGGAGTGGTTTAATAATATCATGCCATCATTTTACTGATGGTGAAATACAAACCATGCAAAATTCTATAGGATAGATCACCCAGTTTCTTCAACAAATACTTTGCAAATAAAAAGGAAGATGGGAGAGGGAGAGAGAATGAGGTAAGAAACTACAGATTTCTGGGGCCAGCGCCGTGGCGCAGTAGGTTAATTGACTGCGGCGCCAGCATCCCATATGGGTACCAGTTCTAGTCCCGGCTGCTCCTCTTCCAATCCAGCTCTGTGCTGTGGCCCAGGAAGGCAGTGGAGGGTGGCCCAAGTGCTTGGGCCCTGCACTCCATGGGAGACCAGGAAGAAGCACCTGGCTTCTGGCTTCAGATAGGCACAGCTCCAATAGTTGGAGCCATTTGGGGAATGAACCAATGGAAAGAAGACCTTTCTCTCTGTCTCTCCCTCTCACTGTCTGTAACTCTACCTCTCAAATAAATAAATAAATAAGCTTTTTTTTTTTTTTGAAAAAAAAAAGAAACTACAGACTTCATAGATTATAAGATTTATCAAACAATGATAATATATGGATCTTTTTTGGACCTAGACAAAGAAACTTTAATATAAAAACAGTTGCCTGCCCTGTGGGAAAATCTGAGTACTAACTACATATCTGATTCTATTAAAAGAATGTATTTTTTATTAAAGAGCTAATAATGACATTGTGGTTAGGTTTTTTAAAAGACTATCATTCACATGCATATTTAAATATCTATAGATGAAATGGTATGACATATTGTAATTGCTTCAAAAGAATCCTGAGATAGGCAAATTTATAAAAGAAGATTGGCCATGAGTAAATCAGTGAAGCTGGGCAAGGGAGTGACATGGGGGTTCATTACCATTTTATTTGTACACATGTTTGAATTTTTCACTATAAAAAGATAATGAAAATCTTGATTAGGGCTCAGTAAATCAATTTTAACACACAACAGATTAGGTGACAATCCCACAGCTTGAAAAACAACACCACACAGGTTGAAGATCTCTTATTCTGAAAATCTGAGACTTTTTTGAGCACCAATAAAATGCTTCAAGTGAAAAACGTCAAGCCATTTAAATTTTGAATAAATTACCTTAAGAATATGTGTATAAGGTGTTTGTGAAACAAATGAATTCTGTATTTAGATTTGGTTCCTACCCCCAAGTTACCTCACTCTATATATGAAAATATTCAAAAACCTGAAAAAATGTGAAATCCAAAACACTTCTAATCCCAAGCATTTCATATAAGGTATACACAGCCTACAATAAATGTACAGAATTTCCCTTAAGATAAGAAAATACAAAACAAAAAAGAAAAAGCTCAAAACAAAAACTAGTAAAATTCACTGCTTTTGGAGTGAGACAGTTATCTGGCTGGGTAGGCTAGGGGTGAGAAGTGTATACCCTTCTGAACATTTTACCTACCGAGAAGATTATTTTGTGAATATTAAAAATGAGTAGAAAATACTACAATAAAGACTTTACAGTGTCATCCTGGGGAATAAAAAAAGACTAAGTGTACAGCCTTAATTAAAAGGCTTTCGCCAGGGGCAGCATTGTGGAGTAGCAGGTTAAGCTGCGGCCTGCAACACCAGCATCCCATATGGGCGTGGGTTTGGGTCCTGGTTGCTGCTCTTCTGATCCAGCTCCCTCTAATGGTCTGAGAAAGCAAGAGCCTAATGGGAAAGTTAGAAACATGCCATGGGACTTCAAATCCCATTAAGTTGGCAGGTACCAATGTCATCTTACTAGTTAAAGTGATCAATTTGAGTTCATAATTGATCATAAAGATTTTAAGTTTATCATTGATCATAAAGATAGGATTAAGTGTCAAAAGGATCACATAAATAAGACCAGTATCTGCTAAAAATAATTGACAGAACTAAAAAGGAGGCTGGCACGGCGACTCACTAGGCTAATCCTCTGCTTGGTGGCGCTGGCACCCAGGGTTCTAGTCCTGGTTGGGGCCCCAGATTCTGTCCAGGTTGCTCCTCTTCCAGTCCAGCTCGCTGCTGTGGCCTGGGAGTGCAGTGGAGCATGGCCCAGGTCCTTGGGCCCTGCACCCACAGTGGAGACCAGGAGGAAGCACCTGGCTCCTGGCTTCGGATAGGCGCAGCATGCAGGCCACAACACGCTGGCCATAGCGGCCACTTGGGGGGTGAACCAATGGGAAAAGGAAGACCTTTCTCTCTGTCTCTCTCTCTCTCTCTCACTGTCTAACTCTGCCTGAAAAAAATTTAAAAATAAAAAAAAGAATTAAAAAGGAGAGAACAATCCAACTTTGGGAAGCAGCATACACAGCAGACTCATAGAATGGCAAATGCCCTAAACAGCACTCTGGCCTCAGAATCAGCCCTTAAGGTATTCAGATCTGGCTAAAAAGCCCATGAGAATTTCTCAGGCATGAAAAGCCAAGACACTATGGCAAAAAATTACCTAAATGAAAGATCTCTGTGAGTGAGATCCCAGTGAAAAGAACAGGCCGTCAAAGAAGGAGGTACCTTTCTCTGAAGGGAAGAAAGAACTTCCACTTCAATTGTGGGCTTGTCTAAATAAGGCTGAAGTTCGTGAACTCAAGAGGCTTCCATAGCCTTGACAGCTCATGACAAGAGCATCGGGTGATTACTGATGTCATAAATAAGAGTGTCGATTGTTAAATCAACAACAGGAGTCACTGTGCACTTACGCCCCATGTAGGGTCTCTGTCCATAATGTGTTGTACTATGAGAATTAACAGTAAAACTAGTCTTCAAACAGTCCTTTATACTTTGTGTGTCTGGGTGCAAACTGTTAAAATCTTTACTTAGTATATACTAAGTTGATCTTCTGTATACAAAGATAATTTAAAATGAATCTTAATGAAGAATGGGATGGGAGAGGGAGTACGAAGGAGATGGGATGGTTTACGGCTGGGAGGTGGTTATTGGGGGAGGGTAAAACAACTATAATCCAAAAGTTGTACTTTCGAAATTTATATTTATTAAATAAAAGTTTTCTTTAAAAAAGATTTAAAAAAAAAGAGAAGATGGCCCAAGTCCTTGGGCCCCTGCACCCACAAGGAAACCCGGAAGAAGCTCCCGGCTTCAGACCAACCCTGCCCCAGCCATGTAGCCATTTGAGGTATGAACCAGTGTATGGAAGATTGTGTGTGTCTCTCCCTCTCTGTCTCTCTGTAACTCTGACTTTCAAATAAATAAATCTTTGCGGGGCTGGCGCTGTGGTGGATGCATTAATTAACACCCTAGCCTGAAGCTGCATTCCATATGGGTGCCGGTTCGAGACCCGGCTGCTCCACTTCCCATCCAGCTCTCTGCTGAGGCCTGGGAGGGCAGTGGAAGATGGCCCAACTGCACCCGCGTGGGAGACCCGGAGGAGGCTCCTGGCTCGTGGCTTTGGATCGGCTCAGCTCCGGCCATTGCCGCCAACTGGGGAATAAACCAGCGGATGGAAGACCTCCCTCTCTCCGCCTCTCCTCCTCTCTTCCTTTCTGTGTAACTCTGACTTTGAAGTAGTTAAATAAATCTTAAGAAAAAAAAAAATCTGCGTTCACCGTGAGTTGAAGACGACACTTAAAGCGAGTGAGAGAAGAGACCAGAGCAGTGCGGTCCGCACAGAACAAGATCGGAGACACAGGAGCCCCACAGAGGTCTCCGGGTGAGGATTCCTGCGGGGAAAGACCGGGATCTTAGCACAGTCTCCCCCTCTTCTCAACTCTAAAACTTAAGGCTGCTTCTGCCTCTAAAACTCTCGGACCCCAAGTCTGTGGCCTGGAACACCGTTTCCCTGGAATCTGCAGCCCGGGACTCACCTGCCTTCCCCGCTGGGATAGCGTCGCCGTGGAGACCACCTCGCCCCCGCTCACGGCCGAGGGCACCCCAAACCGCGGCCTTCTAGAAACGCTCACGCGCCAATGACATCACAACAGAGTCGGCGGTGACGTCACAACCGCAGCCCGGTGGAGTTCCCGGAGGGCCCGGGATTCTCAGGGGGCAGCGATGGTCGCGGAGTCCGTGCCACGCGGCGCTTCGCGTGCGTTCCCGGGAAAAATCCCGTCTGGCGGCCACGCCACGCCGGTTCCGCCGTGGGGACTCCTGGGCCTTGTAGTGTGGCCCTGGAGCCCGGCAGTGTGGGACGGGGTCCTCCAGATCTCAGCCCCCAGGTGTGGAAATTCTGGCTGGTGGGTGGGGAGCACAGAGCGGAGTCCGGGAGGCTAAAGCAGGGGCTGCCTTGGGCCCTGACCGCCGGCCGGTGGTGCGTGACCCTTTACTGCCGGTGGGAGTGCGTCTGCTGCTGTTCACGGCCTCAGAGCGTGCTTGTGCTTCGGTGTCAACCTGAATACAAACAGCCAAGCAATAGTTATTAACGGGAGTGTGCTTGCCTTACTATAAACAGCAAGCACATTTGAACAGATGACGCAAGGGAAAGTTGAAGGCAAACTTGAGGATCACGTCAAATATTCTGAAACAGTGTTTGACCACAATGATTAATAACCATGGTGACATTAGTCAAAGGTTGAATACACAGTTTCTGAGCAGATGTCCTTGTAGAAGTTTTTTGTTTGTTTTTTGGGCTTTTTCTGTCATTTGGTTATGACAATCTACTATGTGTAGTTTATGTCAGGAAGGTGTTAAGAATCCTTTCTTTTCTTTTCCGCCTCTCTCCCTTCTCGCTGCTGCCGTGAGTCGCTTCCCGGCGGTGTTCCGGCGAAGTGGGTGCTGGTCCACGGCCTGGTCGCCATGCCCCGGAAAATCGAGGAGATCAAGGACTTCCTGCTCACGGCCCGGCGGAAGGATGCCAAGTCCGTCAATATCAAGAAGAACAAGGACAACGTGAAGTTCAAGGTGCGCTGCAGCCGCTACCTCTACACGCTGGTCATCACGGACAAGGAGAAGGCCGAGAAGCTGAAGCAGTCCCTGCCCCCAGGCCTGGCCGTGAAGGAGCTGAAATGAACCGGAGAAGCGGCTGGAACTGCATTAAAGTGTTAAAGCGCAAAAAAAAAAAAAAAAAATCCTTTCTTTTTAACCTCTTGGCTTTAATATATTTTTAAAGATTTATTTATTTATTTGAAAGTCAGAGTTACACAGAGAGAGAGAAGGAGAGGCAGAGAAAGAGGTCTTCCATCCTCTGGTTCACTCCCCTACTGGCTGCAATGGCCGAAGCTAAGCAGATCCAAAGTCAACAGCCTGGAGCTTTCTCCAGATTTTCCCATGTGGGTGCAGGGCCCCAAGCACTTGGTCCATCCTCCAATGCTTTCTCAGGCCATAGCAGAGAGTTGGTTTGAAAGTGGAGCAGCTGGGACTCGAACCGGAGCCCATATGGGATACCGGCACTGCAAGTGACAACCTTACTTATTTCTCTCTCTCCCTCTCTCATTCTCTGCCTCTCTGTAACTCAGCCCTTCAAATTAAAAAAAAAAAGGGGGGGGAGGGCCAGCGCTGTAGCACAGTGGGTTAATGCCCTGGCCTGAAGCACCCGCATCCCATATGGGCACCGGTTCAAAACCTAGCTGTGGCCGACGCTGCAGCTCACTAGGCTAATCCTCCGCCGTGCGGCGCTGGCACCCCAGGTTCTAGTCCCGGTCGGGGCACTGGATTCTGTCCCGGTTGCCCCTATTCCAGGCCAGCTCTCTGCTGTGGCCCAGCAGTGCAGTGGAGGATGGCCCAGGTGCTTGGGCCCTGCACCCCATGGGAGACCAGGAAAAGCACCTGGCTCTTGCCATCGGATCAGCGCGGTGCGCCGCGGCGGCCATTGGAGGGTGAACCAACGGCAAAGGAAGACCTTTCTCTCTGTCTCTCTCTCTCACTGTCCACTCTGCCTGTCAAAAAAATAAATAAATAAATAAAAAATTAAAAAAAAAAAAAAAAAACCAGCTGCTCCAGCTCTCTGCTATGGCCTGGGAAAGCAGTGGAAGATGGCCCAAGTCCTTGGATCCCTGCACCCACGTAGGAAACCCGGAAGAAGCTATTGGCTCCTGGCTTCAGATAGGCTGTTCAGCTCTGGCTGTTGTGGCCAATTGAGGAGTGAACCAGTGGATGGAAGACCTCTCTCTCTTTCTCTCTCTCTCTCTCTCTCTCTGCCTCTCCTCTCTCTGTGTAACTCTGACTTTCAAATAAATAAATCAATCTTTAAAAAAATCCACCAATCACCCTCAAAATCTTTCAAAAAACTGAAAAGAAGGAATAGTTCTTAACTCATTTTATGACATGAACACTATACAGATACCAAAGTCAGAGATGTCATCAGAACACTAAATATCCCATTAGCTATTAATGCAGATACTCAATAAAATACTAATAAACCTAATTTAATAATTGGGAGTTATTCTTGGAAGATAGGATAAAGGATAGCTCAATATATGAAAATCAAAATAATAATATAACACTTTTACAAAAAGAAATAAAGCACACAATAATCCCAGTTGACATAGAAAAAGTAGCTGACATAATTCAAAACACTTCCTGATAGAAAACAGCAAACTATGAATTGAAGGAAAATACCCCAACATACTGAAAGCCATATATTTAAAAACTCACAAGTAACATCATACCTAATGGAAAAAGATTGAATGAAGATTTTCCTCTAAGATCAGGAACAAGGCAAGAATGGCCACTTTGGGCACTTTAAATAAAGTACTGGAAGTTCTAGCCATAGCACTTCAACAAGCAAAAGAAGTAAGAAATCTAAACAGGAAAGTAGGAAGTAAAATTACTGTTGTAGACAAAATATCATATAAAGTAAACTCGAGAGATTCCACAAAAAAGAAACCTGTTAAAGGAATTCATCAAAGTTTATGATATAAAATCAACATGGAAATATCATATATACTACAAATGAACAATGTAGAAAGGAAATTAAGAAAACAATTTCATTTATAATGACATGAAAATAAAACATTTTAGGGCCGAAGCTGTGGCACAGTGGGTTAAGGCCCTGGCCTGAAGCACTGGCATCCTATATGGACGCCGGATCTAGTCCCGGCTGCTCCTCTTCCAATCCAGCTCTCTGCTATGGCAGTTGAAGATGGCCCAAGTCCTTGGGCCCCTGCACCCACGTGGGAGACACGGAGGAAGCTCCTGGCTCCTGGCTTTGGATGGGCACAGCTCTGGTCCTTGCGGCCATCTGGGGAGTGAACCAGTGGATGGAAGATCTCTATCTCTACCTCTCTCTGTAACTCTGCCTTTCAAATAAATAAAATAAATCTTATAAAAAAAAAGAAAATATTTTAGGGGCCTGTGCTATGGAGCAGTGGGTTAAGGCCCCGGCCTGCAGCACTGGCATCCCATATAGGCTCTTGGTCCCAGCTGCTCCACTTCTGATCCAGCTCCCTGCTAATGCACCTAGGAAAGCAGTGGAGGATGGCCCAAGTGCTTGAACCCCTACACCCATGTGGGAGACCCAGAAGCTCCTGGTTTCTGGCTTTGGCCTGGTCCAGCCCCAGTCATTGCAGCCATTTGGGGAGTGAACCAGCTCTCTGTCTGTCTTTCCCTCTCTTTGTAACTCTGCCTTTCAAATAAGTAAAATAAATCTTTTAAGAAAACATGTTTTATGAAAAAATAAATGCCATAAATAAATAGAAAGCTATTATGTCATCATGGAATAGCAAACTCTATATTGTTTAGATGATAGTATTACTCATAGGGATCCATTGATCTCAATGCAATATCTCAAAATCTCAGTGGTATTTTTTAAACATATATTTTATCTGAAAGGCAAAGAAAGGTTCACTGTCCACAAAAGTGAAGACTGCCCAGGCCAAAGCTGGGAGCCAGAAATTCAATGTGGGTCTCCCACATGGGGAGCAGATATCCAACTACTTGACCTATCACTGCTGCCTCCCAGGGTGTGCAGTAGCAGGGAGATGGAATCAGTAAAAAGGCCAGGACTCAGCCCCAGGCACTCCAATATGTGATGTGGGTATCCAAAGGTGCCCCTTAACATCTGTACCACATGCCTGCCCCACAATTGGGTTTTTGTTGAGGAAATAGAAAACTCATCCTAAAATTCATATAGAATCTTTAAGGGACCCCAAACAGCCAAAAATAAATCTTGAAAATAAAGAACAAAGTATAAGGGTTCACAAATCCTAATTATAAAACTTACTCTAAAGTTACAGTAATCAAACTATGATTCAGGCTTAAGGAGAGATGTATAGTCATCCTTTGGAATCCCAGGGAGACTGGTTCCAGGACCCCGATGATACCAAAATCTGTGGATATTCAAGTCCTTTATATTGAAAGTACACAAATATTTGCATATAACCTACATATATCCTCCTATATACTATACATCATCTCTATATTACTTGTAATGTCAAATATGTTATAAATGTTGCCTCAGAAGTTGTTATATTATTTGTTGTTTAAGGAATAAGAACAAAGAAAAAAGCTGCATATGTTCAGTATAGTTGCAATTATTGTTTTCAAACAGTTTGCATCCACAGTGGGTTAAATCTCTGGATGCGGAACCTATGATACATAGGGTAATACATGTCCACAGAATGGAATAAACAGCCAGAAATAAACCATCACATGTACATCCAGTTCGTTCATTCTTTATAAAAGTGCCAAGGTAATGCTTCGCAGGACAGTCTTTCGAACAAGTGGTACTGCAAAACTAACATGACTCGGCAATTCAGTTCCTAGGTATATATCCAAGAAAATTTATAACAAATAATTACGCATAAATGTGTACATAAATGTTCACAGCAGCATTATTCTTTTTTTAAAGATTATTTTATTTATTTGACAGATAGAGTTACAGACAGTGAGGGAGAGACAGAGAGAAAGGTCTTCCTTCCATTGGTTCACCGAAGCCAGGAGCCAGGTGCTTCTTCCTGGTCTCCCATGCGGGTGCAGGGCCCAAGCACTTGGGCCATCCTCCACTGCCCTCCAGGGCCACAGAAGAGAGCTGGACTGGAAGAGGAGCAACCAGGACTAGTACCAGGGGACCATATGGGATTCCAGCGCTGCAGGCGGAGGATTAGCCTATTGAGCTGCGGCGCCGGCCCCAGCAGCATTATTCTTAATAGTCAAAAGGTAAAAAGAACCCAATGTCTATTGATTGATGAATGGCTAAACAAGCCCTAAAATGAGGAACATTACTTGGTCATAAAAGGGAACTAGTGGTACTTACCACAACACATGAACCTTGAAATACTATGCTAAGTAAACAAGTCAGTCACAGAGACCACATATTGCACTATCCTTTCTATATAGGCACACCACAGAGACAGAAAGTCTGGAATTAGTGGGGAGGAGAGAAAGAGGACAGAACTACTATTGGGTACAAAGTTTCTTTGGGGAATGTAAGAAATGTTCTAAAATTAGACTATGACAATACCGACACCACTCTGTAAATATACCAAAAACCATCTAATTGTGTACCTTAAAAATATACTTTATTATGTTTAAACTATAATTCAATGAAGCCTTTAATGTACATATGTATAGTTGTCATTTTACCATTATTTGAACTTTATTTTATATTATTTGAAAGTCAAAGTTAGAGAGAGAGAGGTCTTCCAGTTGGTTCACTCCTCAATCGGTCGCGACGGCCGGAGCTGTGCTGATCCGAAGGCAGGAGCCAGGAGCTTCTTCCGGGTCTCCCACGCAGGTGCAAGGGCCCAAAGTCTTGGGCCATCTTCTACTGCTTTCCCAGGCCACAGCAGAGAGCTGGATCAGAAGTGGAGCAGTTGGGACTCGAACCAGCACCCATATGGGATGCTGGCACTGCAGGCAGTAGCTTTTACCCGCTACACCACAGCACTGACCCCCCAAGTATATTATTAACAGGAAATTTTTAAAGTAAAAGTACAGGGGCACACATTCAGCTTTGTGGTTAAGATGCGGCTTGGAATGCCCTCATTCCAAATTGGAGTGCCTGAGTTTGAGAGTGAGCTCTATTCCCAATTCTAGCTTCCTGCTAATATGCACCCTGGGAGATAGCAGGTAATGGCCCAAACACTTGGGTTCCTGCCCCTGATGTGAGAGACCAGGGCTGAGTTCTCTG